GGTGGGGGGCGCAGGCTGGCGGTGGGGGGGGCGCAGGCTGGCGGCAGGCCAGCAGCCATGGCTGGAGGAGCGAGGGAGGGGGGCGCAGGCTGGCTGTGGCCCGGCAGCCGCGGCCGGAGGAGTGAGGGAGGGAGGTGCAGGCTGGTGGCTGGACAGCCGCGGCCGGAGGAGCCATGGGGTGGGAAGGGCGGTGCGGACGGAGGAGCCAGCCAAGGGGAGGGGGCATGGAGCAGCCGGAGGAGGAGCCGGGGGGGCGTGGCCAGAGGAGGAGCCAAGGGGGGGGCGCCTTTTTTAGGTTTGCTCCCCCTCCTCTTAAAAGCTGGCTACGCCACTGTGTTTAATACATGCAGGTAACCTTCATTATTAAAAAAAAAAAAAAAAACCTAGATAAAGTCCAGCCACAAGATGGCACCAGAGCCTCATCACAAAACTTTGCACTGACTGGCTCGGAGAAAGGTTTTAACTCAGTGGAGGGCAACCTGCGGCCCATCAGGGTAATCTCATTACGGGCCACGAGTCATTGTGGCAACATTGACCTCCGCAGGCACCGCCCCCCGCAGTTCCCAGTGGCTGCGGTTCTCTGTTCCCAGCCAATGGGAGCTGCGGGAAGCGGCGCCTGCAGGCAAAGGGGCCGCAGGGACGTGCTGGCCACCGCTTCCCACAGCTCCCATTGGCTGGGAACAGAGAACCACGGCCACTGGGAGCTGCGGGGGGCGGTGCCTGCGGACAGTCAACGTCAGCACAATGTCTCCTGGCCCGCAATCCGATTATCCTGATGGGTTGTCCACCATTGTTTTAACTCATTCCACCTCTCATTTAGAGGCCTCTATTGGATATTGCATCAGATAAAAGTTGACCAAGCAACAAAACTAAAGACCTCATTGAAATTCTCACCCTTTCAGGGCGACTGGCGCCCATGAATCATATCACAGGGATGGTTTGAAGGGCAAATGAGCAGTCATGTTAAGGGCAGTTGGAGCAAGAGTCTTGTATAAATCCACCATGTGGCCCAACTATCTGAGGCAAGAAGAGAGAAAAACGTGCGATTGCGGCCGCTCCTGGGCCGAATGGAAACCAGAAAGGAGCAGGGAGCGCTGAACTCTCACCTGACAAAGCCACGATGCCGATACCAGCAATGGTCAAGAGGATACATAGGAATTTACGTGTACAACGTTTCCAGGGCTTGGTCCAACGCTGGTCACCTGAAAGAGAGAAAGCTGTCTGGTCTCCTGGAGGAGGTGGATGAGAGGACCCAGAGTTATTAATACCAGCATGTCAGCTGCCAGACAGGGCATTCAGTTAAACGGCTCCTGCTTCCTCTCCCTTACGCTCATTGTTCCGCTCCGGGCTCTCTGGAGCTGTGATCCCGAGTACCCCAGGGCTGCCTGGCCCCCAACTAACAGGGGAGGGGAATGTGTCTCATTCTGCAGTCTCTTCCCTCTGCCCTGCCTGTGCCCCCGACCCAGGAGATCAGACGCTCTCAGATACCGAGCCCACAAACCTAGTGGCCCTACATGAAGTCAGGATGCTCTGAGCCAAGCCATGGGGCGGAGAGGTGCTGGAAATGTGACTGCCTTAGGAGGAGAAGCAGTATACATTTGGTATTAGTGTTCCTAAAGAGCAGAGAAATTGCTACAGGATGGAAAATGTCCCCATTCCATATTACAGGGACTGCAGACATTAGTCTGATAGACGATGTTGATTTACACAATAGACCAGAAATACCAGTGCCAAAGAGAGAGAAAATAACCTCTCATCTCCTACTTGAGATTCCCTTGTTTATGCATCTCAGGATTGTACTAGCCCTTTTGGCCACAGCTTCGGACTGCGAGCTCACATTCAACCGTTTATCCACCATGACCTCCAAAGCTTTTCCAGAGTCCCTACTTCCCAGGGGAGAGTCCCCCATCCAGTAAGTATGGCCTGCGTTCTTTGTTCCCAGATGTACACACTGACTTTGAGCTGTGTTCAAACACCTACTGTTAGCTTGCCCCCAGCTTACGAAGCGCTCCAGATCTCTCTGAAGGAAGAGGGCAGGTCACTGATTCAGAGCGATCTAGATCACTTGGTAAACATGGGGAACAAATAATTAATAACGGGCTCTTCAGTCTCGCAGAGAACGGTACAACACGATCCAAGGGCTGGAAATTGAGGGTAGACAAAGTCAGGCTGGAAAGAAGGCGTATATTTTTACTAGGGAGAGTAATTAACCATTGGAATGATTTACCAAGAATCATGATGGTTGCTCCATCACTGGCCATTTTTAACTCAAGACTGGATGTTTTTCTAACAAATCTGCTCTAGACATTTTTTCGGGGAAGTTCTCAGGCCTATGCTATACAGGCGGTCAGACTAAATGACACAATGATCTCTTCTGACATTCGAATCTATGAACCGGTACATTCCTCCTCTATAGCACCTTCAACACAAGGCACCTAAGTTGTTCTATAAACAGCCATGCATTCAAGGGAGCATTCAAAATCACCATTTGTCCAAAAAATTTTCTAGAGAGACTAGTGCTGTAAGCCAGACCTAAGATTCCTGTAAGCGAAAGACACACACCTCACAACAGGGGCTGGCTGGCTCGCCCAGCGGTGTGAATACCAACCTACGTTCCACTACAGCGCGCACCCAACCCTGCCAACTTTGCTGCTGATGTAGCCAAAGTTCCCGTGGCCTAGCTTGTGTTCAGACAGTCTGCCAAAGCTATCCCACAATTCCCGGGATCTGCGTGTTCCTGTCCTTCTGTCTCCCATCTTCCCACTTGTCTCCCATAGAGCAACCCCACTTGTCTCCCATGAGCTAGAAGCAACCTGCTGGCTCAAATACAGTCGCCCTGCAGTAAACCCTTCGTTTCCACATGGACGACTTGGTTTGAAACACAGTTCCGCCTAGTTTGTTAAAAAAGCAGAGAAGATGCCTATCAACCAGCGTGTCGCTGGACGGACAGAGATGTTCTCCCATAATACACCACGAACCAAGCCCTAGAACTGCTCTAGCTAGCCGGGCACTAAGAACCCTGGGACGCGCCCCCAGAATCCACCATGTCTGACAGGCGTCAGTGCATCCCCAGTATGGATGCAGCTGCCAGGACACAAGGCAGGTATGAGATGTGCATACCGATGCAGTACGGATGCTCACAGGCGAGTTGGAAAGCACAGGCTTGCACGCCCGAGTACACAGACTCGGGTGCACTATGCAGTAGAGACATCCCCTAAGTCAACCAAATTCCTCTTTTGTATATGCAAATGCAGAATCCTGGGCTCGCAATGCCTTGGGTGGATTAACCACGCCCACTTCCGTCTTTGGCCGTAAAGAGGGAAAGGAGAGGGCACCAGGGCCAAACCATCATGAGCAGGTGCAATATATGATCCAGCCCAGAAATGTACGTGAACCTACTTAATAACCCACAGCATTCCCACAGCTGTGCATAGAGTTGCAGGTACAAAATGAGGTAACAACACATAGGAGAGGGTTTGGGGGTGATCAGAGACGCCTGACTGCACTTGCAAATGCTGCATCCTCCTTTGAAAAGGCAACCTCAGTATTTAAACAAGGTTACGTCTCTCCTGTGTTATGGTTAGTGTGGACAGAGGGTGAAAAAAAGCAGGTTAACCATGACATAAACCCTCTTCTAATCCTGCCAGACACCTAGGCTAAAATATGTTTGTCCTGTCCACTGTCAAGAAGAGTTTTGTTATAACACAGAAGAGCCACAACCACGTTTCAGATCTGTGACTAAACGTGGCTATTCTTCCAGTGTAGATGGGTCTTACATTTGTCTCTACCACCACCCTGTACCTGAGCAGTGAGGCTTTGGTTACCTGGATTTCCTGCCCTCTCTCGATCCCTATTGTTATTAAGAAGGTCCTCAGCAGAATTCTCAGGCTCTCTTCTCTGAGTGAGCTGCATGGTCTATGAACACTGGGCTCTGCTCAGCTCTCTCTCAGGCTGCAGCTGAGTTTAGAAGAGGAACCGCCGTCATTTGAAGACCTGAAATCCAAGATTTAAGAGTCAGGACATTTGGGTTTTGTCATTCATTGCCACACGGTGATCAAAACAAACAGCCGGGGCTTTTAGCAGGGGCAAGTCTTACATTGCATTGGCACCTTCAATCTAAAAATATCTTAGAAACATTGCTGCACACTAAGGACAAGGATTTCTTCAGCCAATCACTGAATGCAGGCACTTCTGGGGCAGCTGGTTAATGGCACATAGCTACAGGGAAAAAAATAAATCTTATCATAAACTGTTAACTGCCTACATGCACAAGAAACTGCAGAGGGAATTTGAAGGAAGCAGAAAATCATTTACTGTGCTTAAATCTGGCCTGGATCAGGGGCGTAATCAGCATTTTCCTCACAGGGACCTAAGGGTGCTGATTTCAGTGGGGGCATTTCTATGGGGCAGCGCATGTGATGAGGCGAGGCAGAGTGTGTGTGAGACCCCCATCAGCCTCGGGCTCCTCCCAGCCTGGGGTTCTCAGCCGCCCAGCCAGAGGAGGGACCAGAGGCTGCAGCCCTTTGTGACCAGGGGCTCTGGAGGGTTCGAGCCCCAGCCAGCCCTGGTTGCACCCCAGCTCTGGATGCTACTTTAATATTAGGTTGGGGAGTTCATGTCTTGCATGTAATCCAGTGCTCTCCCTCCCACACTGTTTTGACAGCACCCCGGCTGCCTGCCACCTACCACGATTAGAGCTAAGACAGTGAACTAGTGTCACAGCCGCCACCTCCAGAATAAGGCCCTGTCTACATTAGAGACATTTGCACTAGTATAGCTACACTTGCAACCCCCTAAGAAACCTGCTGCTTGGTGCAATAAGCAATTTACACCACTCTCTTACCAGGGAAAGGCCTTGTCCACATTCAGCATTGCACAATACCAATGATTACAATTCAGTTAAACCCATTGTGCTTGAAAGTCAAACAGCTGCCCACAGAAGTCTCTGCACTGGTTTATTTGATGGCTTGTCCACAATTTAGTTCTTAGGCTATTGTTATACAAGTAATCAGAGCTGGTTGAAAACCTTCCGACGGAAGAATTTGCCATCAGATAAAATTGATTTGACAAAATCAAGATGTGCTGCGGACCGCGTCAATTTCAACAAAAGGTTGTTTAGGAAAAAAATCAAAATGATTTTTTTGGAGGAGGTCGTGTTTTTGTTTCAATTTTTAATTTTGAAATAATGTTTTTGTTTCAAAATGTCAGATGTTATAGTACACAAATTATACTATAAATTAAAGTTGAAACGGAAACATTTCTAGGACACTTGCTAACCATCACTCATAAAAGGGAGGCAACATGCCACCCACCCTATGCTCATGGAGACAGATGTCTCGCAAACAGGGAGACTCTCCCAAGCTTGTATAATCATTGACCAGGATCCCACTGTGCTAGGTGCTGTACAAACACAGAAGAAAAAAGATAGCCCCCGCCACAAAGAGTTTGCAATCTAAGCCTTGGGGTCTGTCTACACCCGAAACCCTACAGATGGGGCCAAGACACTGCCTATAGGGTAGTCTGGCTGCCCTGTGCGACGA